ACAGGGGAGAGGGAACCTGGGAGGAGAAGCCCCCCACAGCCAGAGCAGCAGAGGAGATGGCCAGAGTGTGCTGGGTACCTTTAGGGCTGGCTGAGGAAGCCGTCGGCGTGATGTCTGAAGAGTGCCAAGATAAATTAAGACAGAAAAGATTATTTCTGAATGTGGGGAATATTTTGAAACTGGAAGTCTGTGACGCTGGCAAAAGGCAGCCGTGAACCGTGGGAAGGCCCTCTGCTTTGCTGCCTTTCCTTTAAGATAACAGAACAGCACCGGAACGATTGCTTGTGACGTCTGCAGTGGGTAAGAAGGGGGAAAGATTGTTTTTAAGAACAAGACGGGGCAGGGAGGAAAGCTGTTTAGTGCAATAAGCATCTACAGAGCAGCTGTACGGGGGCTTTTTAAAGTCTGGATTTTGTGCATATGAAAGCAAGGGATGGAGAGCAGTAGCTGGAGTGTATTAAAAATAAAGTAGTGGCCGTGCGTGCTTGTTCGGCAGCGTTTCCCTTCAGCTGCGAACGCGCGTGGTGGTTTTGTTCGGGGCCTTTCTCGCTGGGTGTTTTTCGCTCTGTTTTTTCCCTTACCTAGGCGAGCCAGCTGTTTTTCCTTCCCTCCTCCTTCAGTGACAGTTGCCTTCTATTTGAAAGGAAATGGCGAATGTAATTTTCAATGCTCACCATATCCTTTGGGGGTTTCTTTTGTTTTCCTCTCCCTCAGAGTTCTGCGGAGCAGGAGGCAGGATGCAGGGGAAATGCCGTACGCGGCCGGCAGCAGGCGGTCGGATCTCCACCCCGAGAGGGACCCTGCTCCACACATTTTACATTTGACTTGGTTTTTTCCTTGCTGAGTAACTCATGCAAGAATATTATTTGAGAACTGTTCTGGAAAAGTGCATTTTTAAAATTTCTTTCCGCCCCCCCCAAGCTGCCGCAGCAGCGAGTCCCGGCTCTGCCTTCCCGTTTGCCAGGCTGCCTTTCAGGATGTGCCTGCTGGCAGCCAGAGTCAGTGTAAGCTGACAGATGTGTTTCCTGTCTGCACAATTACTGTCTGTTTGCTTCCCTCTGGCAGTGCTAAAGAGTGTGTGTAGTGCAGTGATACCATCCAGGGTGAGAAGGGTGGTTGAAAGCTCAAAGGCGCCAGGTCCCGGAGAGCGAGGCTCCAGATGGTGTTCATGCACTGTTAACAGTGACGGAGCCGGAGGACGGCTGCGCCGTTGGCTGTAGCTCGTCTCGCCGCGTTAGCGGCTGCTCCTGGCTGAAACAGCAAAGAGCTTCAGTGTTGTGAATATTAGAACGTGACTCCACCATGAACAGTGTTTGGGTTAGTACCTGGTTGTAAAGATGGGATTTTCAGCTGCTCTTGGAGAGCGTCGCCGAAGGGGACGGTGTGTTGGTGTCTCCAGCAGCCGAGCTAGGCAAACCACGCCGGCAGGGTCGTTTCTCCTGAAAGGCTGGGAGACGCAGAGGCAGCTGCACCAGAAGGGATTTGCTCTTCCCGCGGCCGCTGGGTGGGCAGTGGTCCTGCTCTGGACGTGCGCGTTGTCCTCCAAGGGCGAATGTCTCCGTTCTAGATGGAACGGGCAGAGTCTTTACAACTGCCCTGACACTGTCCCTGCCACGGCTTTGGGAGGGGTGCGGGGAGGCTCTGGAGCCTTTGCATCCTCCCGCCTGAGGGCAGGGGTAAGGATTCGGCCGTGCCACGCTGCCAACATTGTCAGTGATGCTCCAGAGCCATCAGCCTGGCTTTCCCTCGCCTCGGTAACGCGGTCTGGAAGCGAAGCTTCAGCTGCAGGCTGACTGCTGAGCACATGAATATTTTAGCTGCGGCATTGTGTTAGGTGAACGCGGCAGAGCTTTTACTGAAGAACGCCTGCTTCCGGGGTGTTCCCTTGCAGTGATGTTCCTCTTCTCTGTAGCCTTTTACGGCTTCCCAGTCCGGATCCTGCCGCGATCAACTGGCGCGCTGCTTGCAGCAGGAGGAGGAGCTGGGACTCTGGCCAGGATTAGTTTTCTATATTGGGAGCAGATTTGCTAGTAATTGGAGATACTGGTTGGTGGTGCTCCTCAAGGCCTGATCCACCAGTTCCCTGTAGCTGAGGGAGGACAGCGGAGGACAGGACCTCCGGGGCGGTGTGTCCAGTGCTGCATCGCCGTGGGAGCACGGCCACTGCTTGGACAGATTGTGCGGAGAGCGCAGGCTCCGCTCAGAGCTTTAGAAGCAATTTAACTGGTTTGTGGGTGTTCCTGGTGTCGGTCTGGTCAGGGCTGAGGGATGTGGTTAATCTGTGGGGTCTTAGCAGCTACACAGGCAGAAGCCCCCGGCCCTCAGATGAAGTAAAAAAGAAAACAAGAAGTCAGCACAGCAGTTAGGAATGGGCCGGGGCCGGGCAGCGCAGCTGGGCTGGG